GAAATACTGCACATTTACATTTTTCTCCTAAATAAATTCTGGTAAATAACATTTCTGGAAAATACTCCTTTAAAAAGCATTTTTTTTTTGTTATAATTTTATTATTAGTAGACCAGAACACGTGGACATGTTGTCATTCTAAATTTGGATTTCATTTTAATAAAATATTCTTAAGTAAAATTGTTGATTTTTGTGGGAAAGCAATCATTTAGATTAATCGATTAATCAATAAATTAGTCGATAGATTAATCGAAATAAAAAGTCGTTAGTGGCAGCCCTAGTCTTAATGAATGAGTCATTGAATCATTCATTTAACTGATTCATTCAGAATGACTGAAATGGGGAAGTTTTAATTGACCTTGTCAGTGTTTGTTTCATGCTCACAACATAGATAAGCCATAACAGCTAAACATGTCAGCAGTTTGGACACTTCACCAGCAACAAAAATGAGTAGTAATATGTAAAATAAGTTTGACTGAAATATCAAGAAGCAACCAAAGAACTGTACTACAGCTGGATTCATTTATTACTTGAGAACAAAGCACCATGAACAGCATAAAGTGTTCATAACTTTCTCACAACACGTTTCTCTTAACGTTAGTTAACTGGAACTAGAAATTCATATTTCCTGAAGAAAATGTGAGTGGTGTAGTATTGTAGTGTCACAATTGAAACTTACACAGTTTAACAACAGTTTATTAGAAGTTTAACAAGAAAATATAATTTTTAGGGCTATATGAAATCAGTTTTATATTTTCCCAAATTCGTTTTTTCCTCCAAAATTTTGTGCTTTCAGTTAAGATTTTTTCTGTATTCCAAATGATTAATGGTTTAATTTAAATTTTAATAATTAAAAAGCATGTCTAATCACCGGAATTCATAAAACGTTGCAATTGTTACAATAATAGGGCTCTATAAAATGTTTTATTTTCAGAAATTCTGTTTAATTTTTTGGAAAAATGGTGTAAATCATATGAAGGCAGGAAACATTAACAATTTAACTTACCTTTTAAAGTGTAATCAAACTGAAATGTAATATTTTGGGGGGCAAACAAAGTGCTGCACCACGTAGGTTTACTTTTAGAATTAAAACATGGAAGACATATTGTGATTTTTCTTAATTTATTTTTATTACTTTGAGAAGTGCATTCTGTATGTATTTGTGGGGCAGAACATCTTACTGAAATAAAATCAAAATCACGATCATGGTGATTTATCAAATCACTAAGGCTGCGATTTAAATATCTGCGCTGTTTCAGAGTGAAGCGCAGCAGCGTTCTTTTACTCGTATGCAGCTCCTGACATTTTCACAGTTGTACTATTAAGTCATTATATATATATATATATATATATATATCATTACCATAATTTGTATTGATTTTCACAAGTTATTTGAATATATCAATGTTTCTAACCGTGAAAATTGAAAATGTTCAGACCCCCCACTTTAAGTTGACACGTTTTGCTGTTTTTTTTTATTTTTTATTTTTTTATTAGTCGCTGTAGCATAAAGAAGTGGACAAATATTAAAAACGGAGTAATAGGATATTTTAAATCAAAATAATTAGGCAAAGATTGTGCTGTAAAGTGTGACAACACCAATCGCCAGGTGGTTTGCATAAGTTGTTCATCCAAAGAATTATTATTGTCATCATTACATGTTATGATTTAAAATTTAAATCTTATTTGAGATGTTAATGCATATTTTAATGCATATCTTGTCTCTCTTTTAGTATAAAATAGGCTCATATGCATGCGTATAATATTATATTATGTATTTTAACAGTATTGTTAATTAAAACCATAAGATTACTTATTTTTTTATGCTTTATTGATCCAATCTTTAATAAAAAAAATTTAAAAAAATAATCTAATAATTTTGATTAATAAACAATAATTGTTATGCTACTTATGACTGGTTTTGTGCTCCAGGGTCGCATATGTTAACATACTTACAGGATGTGAAGATGCAGTTCTGAGTTGTGTTAGGTTGTGAAAGTCGATGTCTTCTATCTTTGCAGGATCTTTAACGAGAGTTATGTGCCGCATGGACTGAAGGTAGTGCAGGTGTATGCCGAGCGCAGTCTGCGGGGCCTGATGGAGCTGGAGCGCTGCTGGCGACAACACTTTCTGACCAGCATGCAACCCCGCCATTTGCCCCCTCTCTGGTCCGTCAACCACAACCATGACAAATATCTGCGCAAGTATGGTGAGGACCTGCAAATCCAGCTCAACTGAGCTCCTCGCCACACAAACAGAAAGAGACTTTGTGCAACAACTTCTGGGATAGGAAGGTTTCCACTGCGTGTGCAACACCTTGGTGTCCTCGTCCTATGTCGTTTGAGTGTGTACCAGAGACTGACTCGCCTTGGCTACAGGTAAGCTCCGGTGTTGACTTCCAATTGAGAAAAAACAACAACCTAAGACTAGACTGTGGGCCCAGTTTGACTGGGCTCTAAGGGACCAGATGGAGATCGGGTAAGAGACTCTTTGGGGATCGAAAGCCACTGTGGTGAACAGCAGAACGCTAAACTCAAGGATGGTGCAAGAACTGAAATGGTGATAGGTAAAATAACAAAAAAGCATAATGTGCACACTTTTTAATGTTTAAAATGTTGAAAAGCATTCTCATTTCCCTGTGAAAAGTAGAGTCTACTGTATTTTAACCAGCCCAAACCTGCTCTTAATTATTAATCATGAATTGAATAAAAGATTCATAGCTTACAAATCTTGCAGGTTTGAGGCCATATTAAATGTGTTTGTGTTAAATCACGTTGTCTTTTGAGGCTATACAAAATGGCCATTTTTACTTATAATGGAGCGCTGTCGTTTCTATTTAATTTCAGGCTGTTAACTAATTCATTAACTAATGCTTAGTTAATATTGACTACTGTATTTGGATGTTAACAGAATTCACATACTATGTGCTGTGATTGGCCAATGTTGGGGTCTGTCCATTTACCTGCAGGC